TTTACAAAACTTCGATTATTGTTAAAGGAAAAATTCTATTGTTTTTTGGTTTTTTGATGGTTTTTGAAATCTATCTGGACAACTACTTGATAATTCGTTCAACTGGCCATTTAAATGGAATCTACATAAAATTCTCTATCGATAAACTTTACATTTCACCACTTTTCAATTTCATTTTTCATATGTGAGATTAATCTCATCCACAAGCGGACGAACATAATAGTTCCAAAACAGAAAATATATGTTTATTTACCAATATTGACCTATATTAGCTATATTGTTCAACGTTTTCGAGACTTTTCATTTTACCATTTTAGTATTATTTATGTAGAACAAATTACAAAATACCAAGTTAGCTTAAAGCTTTGAAGGTTTTGTTGTATAACCATAACTATAAAAGCTATTAAAAAATGTAAATTTTTTAATAATTGCTAAATGTATTCGTAATGTGTATAATAGCATTTTTAAAGCCTATGTAGGTATGCCTACCATTAATTTTCATATTTGATAATAATTGTTCGTATTTAAAGCTAAATAGTTTTATTCTCGGTGTGTGGCCGGTTACTACAATAACTACCTATTTCTAAATAAACTACTGGAGTATTTGCCAATTGTGAGCAAACCTCATATGCAAATATGTAAAGTACCTATTCAATGTTCAATCAATTTTTTTATAAGTTGTTACATGTAGATAACGTTCATATGGTATATTAGATCTACTGTATTACTCATTACGAACCTATGTACTTAAAATTTTTAAAAAAATTTTTAAGAATTCTTAACTCAAAATAATTTGCTAATTTTCGTGATTTTTCCATATTTTGTCAATTTTTGAACTTTAAATGCTTATAAAAAAAAACTGTGACTAACGATTTTTAATAATTTTCATCTGCCTTTGAAACAATATACTAGGAGCCTTCTATTAAATTTTCAAGTTTTTTTAACCAACAAATAAAATTTTATTGATATTTCTAGAAAAAAAACTAAAAAAAATGAAAAATGAAAATGTCCCTAAACAGTTCAAAATAAATCAAAATATTTTGAAAATGTTATCGTGTATAGAAAATGCAAATATAAACAACCAGTGAAAATTTCATGTATCTACGGTCATTTATTTTAAAGTTACACCAAAAACCAAATTCAATTTTCTGAAAAATCGATTTTGCGTAAAAATTTCCGTTTTTCCTTAATTTTTCTTTTGTTTTTCTTGGCGCTTTTGAAAATTACTGGGAATTTTAAATTTTGACCTCCCCAATGCATCAACGATATTCACTTTCCAATCGAACAATAAGATTCGAACTGAAGTCGAAAATCGAAGCATTATTTCGATTACCTACTTATCGTGTACACAGACACAAAAAAAATTTAAAAAAAAGGTGGGAAAGTGGGTGTCGCTCTGCTGTACAGTAGGTTACAAGTGGGTCACTGTATAATGGATGATATTAAATTTGAATTCAACGATATAATATCATTGTATAAGAAAAACGATTCTGAGCGGAGACGGTATGTCAGTCTATGTATAAGACATATTATATACATATCTATGGTATAACACAAAAAATTGACCTATAATAAATTCCAAATTAATCATATCACAATATCCATTAGATACTTATAACGCGTTATACATCAACAAAAACCATTTGACTATCATAGATATATAATAGTACACTTTAGAAGTTTCAAGTACCCACGAATAATATTATTCAATCACAACAAAATAACTAAAATAGTTATTCTAGGTTTTTTAATATGTAATTTCGTCCAAATTTGAATTTAAAATGTCTGTAAAAAATAAGTGTGTTCATATATTTTTTAAATTTTTTTTTCCAGTATGAACTATTTATGAGTACCTTTGTGTTGAATTTGCAATCCTTAGCTATAAAAACTGAACATTTTATAATTTATTAATTACAATGATTGATAATTTTCGAGATTTTGATAAATTTTGTCAAAATTTGGTCTTTAAATGCTTATAAAAAAAAACTGTGCCTATGTATTTTTAATATTTTTCAACTGCTATTGTAACAATATATCAGGAGCCTTGTATTAAATTTTTACACTTTTTTTCCTAACAGATAAAACTTTATTGATATTTATAGAAAAAAAAACTAAAAAAAATTGAAAGCTGTAAATGTCCATAAACAGCTCAAAAAGAGTCAAAATATTTTCAAAATTTTATGGTGTATAGAAAATGCTAATTTAAACACTCAGTGAAATTTTCATGTATCTACAGTTGTTCGTTTTTGAATTGCAACAAAATAAGGAAATCGCTACATGAGTAATCGAGTAAATATCCAGTGTTGTAAAAATTTGAATTTCAAACTTTAATTTTTAACAAAATTTAATTTGACTGTCCGGTAGAGATTTTTTTATTGATAAAGGTAGATAATCTTATAAGGAATCTTGTGTTTCATTTTCAAATCTTAGATTTAAAAAGAAAAATTTTTACGAATTCTTAACTCAAAATAATTTGATAATTTTCGTGATTTTTCCATATTTTGTCAATTTTTGAACTTTAAATGCTTATAAAAATAATTGTAATTAAGGATTTTTAATATTTTTCATCTGCCTTTGAAACAATATATTAGGAGCCTTCTATTAAATTTTCAAGCTTTTGCAACCAACAAATAAAATTTTATTGGTATTTTTAGAAAAAAAACTAAAAAAAAATGGAAAATGAAAATGTCCCTAAACAGTTCAAAATAAATCAAAATATTTTGAAAATGTTATCGTGTATAGAAAATGCAAATATAAACAACCAGTGAAAATTTCATGTATATACGTTCATTTGTTTTAGAGTTACACCAATAACCAAAATCGATTTTTTGGAAAACCAATTTTGCGTAAAAATTCCCGTTTTTCCTTAATTTTTATGTTGTTTTTCCCGGCGCTTGTGAAAACTACTGATTTATACTTTTGACCCCCCAAAGTACCAACTAGATTCACTTTCCTATCAGAAAAGCTACTGATGAAGAAAATCCAAGCACTTTTACTGTCCTAAAACGTGATGACAGACACAAAAAAAATAAAAAAAATAAAAAATATAAAAAAAAAAAACACATCACTGTAAAACCAATACATTCATCGCTCCGCTCAGAATCTAAAATAAAAATAAATAAACACACATCATTGTAAAATCAATACTAAAATCAATATTTTGATTCTGAACGGAGCAATGAATGTATTCATTTTACAATATGATGTGTGTTTTTTTTTATTTTGTATTTATTTTTAGTTTTATCTTTTATTTTTTTGTGTCTTTGTACACGATAAGTAGTCAAAATAATAATACTAGTTTTGTTATTAAAATAATAAAAAACTAAATAAAATAGATAAAATGCGATGTACTTTTTGATTTCTTTTAAAACACTGTTAATAAATAATTTTTCTTCTCCTAAATCTTTGGGGAATAGTGATTTGTGAAGCAAATTGGAACGCTATAATAGTAGTGGTATCTGGATTCATTTATCGTGTCATCCATGACCTATCATAGCTCGTTGGGCATCCATATAATATCTTAAATCGTGATGTAGGCGTGTAGGGTGTAACCCTACATTCATTTTGAAAATGTTCGATTACATTAAAAGCTAATTGTCTACCGTTTTGCAGTGATTCATTTTTTAGCTAATAGCTACTGTAATCAGCGTTTCGTTATTCCGTCACGATAATACAGGACACTCGAAAGTCGTTACAAAATTAGTGGCGATCAAATTGTTATTATTGCCCCCCGAGATTGTATAACATACCTATTATAATTTGCCTATAGTTTTCTATGTTGTTCATAGGCAAGGACTAAGGAGTAAAATAGGCAACTATTGTCTGTTAAAACAATCTCGGGGGGCCATCAATAATAATGAAAAACTGTAAAGGTGTTTTTGATAGTAAAAAGTCCGCCCGTTTTAAAAAAACCGCCGAACCTAAAAAGATATAATATACGACCGTGGAATAAACTAAAATCGACAGATAAGAGAGAGAGAGAAATCGTGTTTGTTGATAGAGAAAGAGAGATTTTTTCCGTTACAGTGTGCCAGAACATCAAATAGCCCAAAACAGGTTTTTTCTCTCTCATATGTTGGTGTGTTTAAATGTTTGTTTTGTCTCTCAGTTATGTCCACGGATATAGACGGCCTATATTAGATCACAGCGCCGAGCGGCACCGAATGTTCTTATCAAGTCTGACAAAAAGTCGCGTTTCACGGGCGCCCTCTACAACCACTACTAAGTTACGGTAACCAACCCTGGTTACCTAGCCACTGTGGAGCGCTAGTATGTCGCGACTTTTTTTGTATGGATACTATATATGTATATAAGTAACTTGATAAGAACATTTGGCTCCGTTATATTATTGCTCGTTGTGCATTGTGCAACCATAGTATCTATATCCGTGGTTATGTCTTATGTCGTCTGAATCAAATATATTAGCAGTAGGGCCGCCCTGTGAGGGAAGCGCTGTACGTTAAGACTTTGAGAGTACGTGTCCGTTTTTGGTTGGACGTTCATTGTTTCGAGTTCGACGCCGTCCGCCCGTCCTGGCGACCTCTTCTTCTCGTAGAGACGTAGAATAATATGTTCTATGGCGTCGGCGCGTCGCACCCTGGCACCCTGGCACCCTGGCACCCTGGCACCCTGGCTTACTTCTTTATCTATGCCTGGCACACTCGCACCGGTAGTAGTTGCTTACCGACGCCGGGCCGGTTTGCGTTCACTCTTCACCATGGCTAAATATACTAATACATTTAGCCATGCTCTTCAGTTCTTCACATTTTTACGGCTTCGCGGGGCCGGTCGCGCGACGCCAGCCGTTGCTACTGCGCAGTGCACCAGGCGCCAGGCACCGCCGCCGTCCGCCATCTTGAACCATCATCGAGCACGACAACCCGTGGGCCGTGACAAAATATTACAAACTTTTTATAATACATTTTGTCATGTTTCAATCGGTGCCGGGTCGTTCGCAATTTCGCGTACACCGGACGATCCGTTCCGTGTTCGCCGACTTTTTACGACCGCTTCGTTTTGTTCGCCATCATGGCCGGCTGGTCGCACGGTGTAGTATGTCCGTCTTGCTTCCGGGCCGCCCGTGTTCGCCGGATAATGTGTGAAGTTTGAACCGACATGGCCGTACGTTCACCCTCGTGGTTTGTGTTCGGTGCCCGCGCCGCCCGTTGTCGACTGGTGCCGGTCGACGGTCGTTCGCGACATATCGCGTCCGCTCCGCTCGAGTTCAACCGGACAACCCGTCCACCGCCGTCGACGTTCGCCACTTCTGCCGCCCGACGTCGATCAATCGCCACTTGCCATTGTTGGTCCACGTGGGTTTTCATTTTGTCTCGGCGTTCCCGACGTCCGTTGGGCAACGGCGGGGCCGGATTGTACAAATTCGGCCCGCCGAGTTTTCCGTACTTCACCGGCACACTCACAAACTGGCTGCCCTTGGGTAGGTACGTTCCTATTCCGTGCATAGTTTTTTTTATTTTATAGTCTCCATTTCTTCAATTTTTAACTCTTAACATATTTTCAATCAGCGCGGCCCCCATGACTTGAACGGCCCATCATTGAAGCTGCCCACAGTGTTTGACTCTGTAACTTGCCGGACGAACCGGCCCTGGGCAACGGCGCTTCCGACTTCCCTGTGCGGTACTCGATCCAGCACCCAGGCGTATCAGCGTCCCATCCAGTTCTTCACACACAGCCGAGCGCTCCAGCGTCCAGCAGGCCGGGACATTGGCGTATGACCGTAAGACTGCATGAATCGGGGACTATGGCCTTGAACGCGGCAGACTGCAGTAGAAGTTTCTGGGACTCGGGTAAACAACAATTATTGTTTAAACTCAGGTTGGCTCATGGGATTGTTTCCCTGTTTTCAAAGGGTCGTACTTACGATCGCAGGTATGAAAAACACGATCGGCATTTCGAGTGTGGCTTCTATATAGTTTTAAGCGTGAAAAACATGTCCTTATTTAATGTAGTAATGAATTTAATATGTAACATAAACTCTTATTTATAAGTATGAAGTATGAAAGATTAGATAGGTATCATCACAGTTGTACTAGTTTTGCGCAGTAGATACTCCTTCACCTCTAGCTCATATCATAGTTCTCCACTTCTCATTAGTTGATTTTGTTCTATGTTATATATATATTATGTATATGATCGACAGCCAATAAGTGGTGAACTACGATGATGGCGAAGTAAAGAGTGAATGTTGCGTATCAAAATACTGTGATGTGATACCTATCTAATTTGTCATGGTATGAAGTACCTTTACAAAATTTTGTGTAGGTATAGGTATAACATTATTAATACCATACAACATCTATCTCTTAAAGATTCCTCATACACGATAATTTATAAATACATACTAAAAGATACATAAATAAAATAAAAAGGTTATATCTTACTTGAGTTTAAACCCCATCTATGGCCATCATAATTACCCATTTATGGCCAGAATTATAAAAATACAAATAAAATAGTTATTATAAGATTAAATGAAATAATTTATTCAACATCTTATAAATATAACAAATAGGTAACACATTTAACATTTATTCAGTAGGTAGGTACTTACTTTGTACTCGATTAGGAACATAAAATAATAATTAAGTAACTATTTTTTTAAAATAAAATAGTTATTATAAGATTAAATGAAATAATTTATTCAACATCTTATAAATATAACAAATAGGTAACACATTTAACATTTATTGGCACATGTAAGAATCCAATCCAGGTACTAATGATTTTTCTGTATCACTACCAAGTATAGATGACACTCCACCATGCCCAATTGATTCTGTCGGTGACCTGCCTTCAATTTTATTTCTCAATGTAGTACGAGGTACCCTAAATGTCTTGCTTGCTTCAGATTTACTCATCCCTAATACAACAAATTATGTTAGAACTTTAAACAATCAAATTATACTTTACTATTTACCTTTATTAATTGCATCTAAAGCTTGCTTAACCTTTGATGGTGAGTATTAACACCTTTTTGGAGTTTTTAATTAATTTTGAATTATTGTGGGAGACATCTTTTTTTTTTTTTTTTTCTCAATTCAAACTCTTTTTCCTTTTCTTATAATTAAGAATTAATTATATTATTATTAAATAATTTCGTATATAATTTTTATTCCAGTTCAGTAATTTATTTAGAAAATAATAATTCATTACATTTTTACAGGCTTTCCGTGTCAGCAATTGTAGCGTCAGAGCGTCTTATCTTATTTACAAAATGCACATCCAATGTGATTAGATTTCGAACTGCATGTATGATAGTGCGAGAGTTGCTCTCACGACAGGTCGATAGTTACTACCATTACTATTACTAAACTTACCATTACTAAACTGACGTGTTCACACGGCGATAGTATTCGATTAGTAGGCGATAGTATTTTCGACTCTTGCGAGAGTAACTATCATCGTGTGGACCCGGCTTAAGAAACAGGAAAATCTCTGTTATCTATGTACACATATCGCACTCTCGCTGTGCCGTATCAACAATTTAAGATGTCTATTAAAATATTTAATTTTCGTTCCTTAAATTGTTTGCTTATAATTGTATTATAATAATATTTTCCTTTTCATTGGTACACTATAGACAGCTGATTTCCTTGTCATTTTATAGTATAGGATATCTGTGATTACCTTATACAAATGTATTAGAATGATGTTAGATACGAGATTTAGAACCTCTTTTTTTGATTAAAAAAAGGGTTGCTATCATATCGCCAGCGGCTACTTTTCATTCACCCAACTATAATAAATAATATAGCAATTTGAAGTGGCCATAGCTGGTGTACTGGCTATAGATGGTGCCATGACCCTACGTAATCAAAACTTATTTAATAGGAATTTAATTAAATTATTAACAATACTTTTTATATTAAGCATACACACAGTGGTTGAGTCAAAGACTAGTTTACGACGTTTAAGTTTTCTTTTTCTTTCCTTTTCTTTCTTTGAACGATTTGGAACATTGACTTAAATCAGTTACCTTTACTACGGAATTGGTATGTGTTATATCGTTACTTATTCTTTTTTCTTCAGAAAAGTGGGGATTAAATTCAACTCAAAATGATTTTATATGCTAATTGGTTATCAATTAGTTGTTAACAACATTACAGATACATAATTTAGTTACATAGATTATGATAATACTATTATATTTTTTTACATATTGTAACGTCTCCTCTTCACCTGGGGGTTGCCTTCCTCGGTGTAGTTCTGTTCTTCCATATCTTCTTTAATACCCTTCATTACCTCTTCAACCTCTTCTAGATCTGTTGAGAAGTTCTCAGACACTGACTTCACAATGTCTTTATCTCCCTTCCTTAATGGAAAAGGTGTGTTCTTCTTAATCAAGGTGTTCGGACCGTCTCCTTCACCTTAGTGTGGTTTCAAAAACAGTCCTTTATGTTCTGAGACACCGGAAGGAAAAGAGGATGTGGTGTTGGCAATGTATTGTTGGATTTGTTCTTTATTGTTGGGATCTAGCAGGATATCTTTGAAACAACGTTGGTCAGATATCCCTCTACATCTAGTATAGTAGATCCATTCAAAGTCGTTTCAATCAAAGAGGTCTCAATGTTTAAGTGCTCATCATTTTCACCTATGTTTAGACCCTTGCTTGAATGGCTCCATGACCCCTCAGCGTAATGAATCTTCAGAGAGTGTAAAAATAGAGTTTCACGTGTGTTATGTGATTGTGATCTCTGTTGTCGTAATAGTAAAATAGAAATTCTGTATTTCTAGCTCGCCATCATCTGCCGTATACTGTTCAATCGAATGTGTAAATATTTTGTTTCATAAAAAATGTATTGTAAATAACTGATAACCAATTTCTTATCTTTATACCTATTCGTAACAACTGAATCTGGGTGTTGTCAATATGATAAACTATAAGAGGCTATTAAATCATCCTCGGTTAAAGGAGTGAATTACCACCGTACATCCTGAACCTATCCTTGCTCAAGAGCATCACCACTCTGCCTAACAGGGGACCTGTGTTTAATGGCATTTTGCATAATTTGAACTTACCGCATTCAAATGTGCAGCCAGAAACAGGATCTTTTTTTAACACGTTGATGGACAGTCTCATGGCTGCCGTTGAAAAAAAAACATCCTTAAAACATCAATTTTGATTGTGGATATAGTATTTTATAACATATGCATTTTGCATTCACAATACTGTAAAGTACGATATACAATATATTTATCAACAAAATTACAAGGTTTACAATAATACATTTATATTGAATAGTTATGTGTCTTGGTATTATAGTGATGTGATCTGGTATTCTTGGAAGCGTTTAGGAACCTTAATCATCTCCTTCTAAGATCTTCTCTGCTTTTATTCGTTTGTCACTTTCATACTTTGTTCTCTCTTACTTCATTAATATGATATAAACCGTTGTAATCACTTAATGAAATACTTTCATTATTGTCACCATCATTGTCATCACTTAATGAAATACTATTATTATTGTCGTCAATATCCTCCCAATCGCTCTCATTGTCATCATTTTTTTCATTGACTATGATTTCCCCTGAATAAATTAAGTCTATTAAGAACCGTTCTTACAACGTCTGGTTGAAGTATAAAATATATAATAATCCACAAGGAGTTTTAATATGGTGGATTTATTCATATATCTTTATAGCATGATATTTTGACTGAGTAATTTTTATTCTCAGTTTACTTGTATCGCTCATCATAACATTCTCCAATAGATACTTCATGAGAGACTACATTTTTATCATTAACTTTGACTTTTTTAATATTGTATTCCTTGTTTGGAGATGAAGTAATTCTACAAGTACTGTGAATTGTGATGGTAACTTTATAGCCTATATATATGTTATATTCACTACGTTGATTCACTTCATTTTACCAAGGACGAGCGCAGTTCCATCAGTGAATACGATTTTGTAATAGCTTATAGCCGAACCCGAACCCTTCATTCGAGTAAACGTCACAGATTTTGACTTAGCATTTTCTTTTAATTCATAGCGTCTTTCAAGCCCAATTGGCTTTGGAAAATCAATTACTTCAATTTGAGCAATCCTCGATCGTGAAAAAACATATTTAGGCTCATTGTTACCATTGATCTCGTCAACCACGTCATCCACATTGTCGACTTCAACTTCATCAGATTCGCTATCACCCTGACCATCATCATCCTCATTGATATCCATCTGCGTAATCTTTTGCAACAAAACATCAGATCTATCATTCAATTGTCTGGTACTACTCTCACCGCTCTCGACTTTCTTTTCAACCGACGACTTCAAATTCTTGGATGGAGAAAGAAGCGTGGAGGTTCTGCCTTTGATAGGCGTTGAGAACTTTCCGCTTTCTCTTTCTTCCCTTCTTCTACGTCTATCATCGAATCTCTGATCGATCTCTTCTCTCGTTAAAGCTACAGCGAACGATTGTAATTCAGCCCCCGATTCGATTGAATCATGGGCGGGTCCAATATGCTTACTGGCCGAGTACAAAGTTTCATCAACTCCTTCAAACAAAGTCAATCGCGCCATCACTCTTCTAACAGTTTCAAAAGTTATACCCCTCGATCTACGCATGCCGATAACCTTTATGCTATCATTTGTTAACCGTAAGATGATCTCCTTTTCTAATATACACACGGTAATTGCATCGAAATCCTTCACAATCATGTCAATGTCACCTCTGTTTTCAATTCGGCTTTCTAACTTAACATTTATCTCTTCAATTTTATCATTTATTGTTTTGATAGCGTAGATTCCCTTGAATACCGAATTTGGGGAATTGTCACATACATAAAAAATATTTACCGACACTTTGGCTGCCATGGTGAAATTGGGACTATTTTTAAACTCTAATATATGTTATATTAGGTCTATGGTTACTACACATCTGTATTTATCATCTAAAAATATGTGTAGGTATAATATATATCACAAATCAAATATTCATACATTTATACCCGTACATTTTGTTCAGTGACTGATTTCCCCTGAATAAATAAAATCTATTAAGAGCCGTTCTTACAATGTCTGGTTGAAGTATAAATATAATACAATTTTTTGACCAGTCACAATACTTACTAATGTAAGTGATGGTAGCTACTGCTGTTTTAAATATTTGAATACATTGATCATATTGAGAAGAGTCAATGCAATAATATCAACAACGGAAAGTCGCATATCAGGATAAGAATACTGGTTCCCATATAATACACTTACATAATTGGGATTCGGTAAAAGCGATAAAAAAGACGGTAATCTCTGCGGGTTAGAACATCTCATCCAAAAAGTACTAGCATCTCCAAGAACAGCGTTCATACCAATAAGCAATTTATTTTGTTTTACGCGGACAAATCTATCAATCCACTGTCTGATTTCATACCCGGGATCACCATCTACTCTATCATCAAGAGTGATGCCATTGACTGATTAACTTTTCCCGCGAACCCAAGATCTGGAGATAATGTCAACAAGGCTTCCTCATCATCTGCAATTTGACAGGCAGTAGCATATGCTCCCCTACGTTTTTTCAACCATCCTTCTATGTTTGCAGCCGTAAGTCTCTTTGTTATAAAGTTCCAATATATACCAATATTGACTCTAATAGTCGCTGAGTCAACCTCGCAAGATGTATATTCCTCAGACGTATACAAATCCGGTATCCAACCTAATATCCAATCTTCTGTGTCATCATCATCATACATATTGCACTCCATCCCAGAATCGACCAAACTCCTTTTGATCTCTTTATCAAGATTCATGAAGCTTCCCCTTATTATGTTGATATAAAGTACCAAACAGTCAGATGCTTTCATAGCAGTATCTTTTGAGGAAAGAAAGAATAAGGACTTCATAAATTCTAAATAATCTTCTTCACCAGTAGGGATGGAAAAGAACGGAACAACTCCTTTACCCCCAGCAAAAGCAGCTATGCTTTTCTCAATCATGTAGCTTGTGCTCGGTTCCAATTTTTCTATATTAACTGTATCCATATAGACTTGCTGAGTGCACTTCACTGTGTCAAGTGATCTTTGCGTCATGTTTGTTATTGTTTTGGGTATCTCTTTTAAAATGTTTTTCTTTTATTTGATACAATGCAAACGGAAAAACTTCAAAAAGATATACGTTTATTGTTGATTTTGTCTAAGATAGACTCATTTTTTTGTTTTCTTTTTCTGTTTGTTGTTGTGTGTATTTCAACTTTTTATTAAATATAAGAAATTTGTTTCATAAATATTTTAATACGTTTAATAAAAAAATTTACTTTTAACTAAAAAGTAGGAAATAAAAAAATAAAAAAATTTTAAAAACACACTTCTAAAAAAACATTTAAAAAAAAAAAATAATGAAAAATTTAAAAGTGTGTGGTGTTCTTACACTTGACATATACTCCCAGTCACTATCATATAAACATGATTGAACAAAGAAGTGTATGTGAGACTTATAGCTCGGCTTAAATGTTTTGTATGATGCACCACACACTTTGTTTGTTTATTTGTTGTATAATGTTGTACTTGTGGTACATCCTCCCCTCCGAGTGGATTTCGTTCGCCTTATTTAATTTTTGTTCAATTTTGATATTATCTGCACAGAGTTTACTTTTACCTACTCGTACCATTTCATATTGTGGTCGCCTCAACGAAGTAAGCCTGCATTTATACGTTATATATACAAAAATGATTAACATTACTGAGAATACTATCAAGTCCAATGCATAGACCTATTAACTATGGACAGCGCATTCCAACCCGCACTGAACACAATGCTAGGTGATCATATAACTGAGAGAGAAAGAACATAGAGCAGTGAACCATAGAGGAAATACTAAACTTTTTTTTTTCCATTTTCTTTATCCATAGGTTTATGCCTTTATCATCTATAAACATATTATCTATAAAAGTATAATATAAATAATAATATAATATTTATAATTTTAATATAAATTATAAATTTATAAAATAAAAGTTTAAACTTTGAGTTTTTTGTGGTCTCTACAAATTTAAATTAAATATTTAATCAATGCCATGTTTTAATCATTAAGACCTGAAACCTAATTTAATTGCATTTATACTTAACAGCCATTTCTAGTACATTTTTCTACTTTCCATTATTGCAATTGAAAAATAAGTTTTTTCATTCTACAAAACACTTCTGCGTATAATCGCCGTTAATTTTTGTTTGAAACTGATTGTGCATTGTAACAAATTTCACTAAAGAATAGCAGGTACTACATTATTGTGTACAAATTAACATTATAAAAATAAATAAATAATTGGAGTTAGATATAGAGTTTAATTTAATTAATTTATGAGGTTTGTATGTAGAATATTACTCTATGGATTTGTATCAGAATCCAATAATCATTAATTATCACCCATTTTATTTTATTGATTAAATATATAGTACAGACTAGAGAGCCTCACAGAGTAATAATATATATATATATATATATATATATATATATATATATATATATATATATATATATATATAAATATTATATTATATAGGTCCTCTAGTATAGACTGTAGAATGAATCACGGTTAGCATTATATATTATGGTAATATGGAATCTATTAAAAACAATAACAATATTTACAATATAAAATATTTATTAAGTATAGATTTTTGTAATAAAATAACAATATTAACATGGTTGTTAGGTATTGATGTTGTATAGACCATATTTTTATAAATGATATTTCAAATTTGTCCTCGTACATTGTTAAAACTGATATAACAGATCACTATAGTTTAGCTATTAGCATCAACAATGATAATTTTATTGAAAAAAGTAATATTAATAATGATACACTTAAAAATGTTAACAAACTTAAATGTAATTTTTCTTACCTAAATAATTTATTATTTTCATTTAATTGGTATAACTTTCTTTTAGACTGTGATGTTGATATTTTAATAGATAAATTTAATAGTAAAATAAATGAATTTATTGTCAGTTCTTCTAAAAAATGTATTGTATCCAAAAATAAATTAAAAAAATCACAAAAATATAAAGCTTGGATTACTAACAGACTTCTGGTCTCAATTAATAATAGACATAAATTATATTTAAAAAAACAAAAAGCTCCTTTTGATATTACACTAAAAAAACATTACATTAAATATAGGAATTTATTAAATTCATTAATCAGAAAATCTCGTATTTTATATTACAAAAACCAATTTTATTTATCTAATAACAATATTAAAATACATGGAAATTAATAAATGAAGCAACATATTCAACGAAAAACGAGGAAACTCCTATATATTGTATTGAAAATAGTTCTACTAAATCTCTTTTAACTGATAAAATTGACATTTTAAATGAACTAAATGATTATTATGTTAATGTCGGTAAAAATATTTTTGACGATATTCAAATAAATAATTTTGAAAAACTAAATTGGAATGATATGAATAAAAACTGCCATATTAATAAATCAATTCTCCTGGATCATATTGATCCTTCAGAAATTTCTAGGTTTATAAAGAAAATACCAGATAAATCCTCATTCTATAATAACGGTTTATCGAACTTTATTTTAAAGAAAACAGCTGATTCTATCTCACTTCCATTGTCAATTATTTTTAATAAATCGTTTAGTACAGGTAAATTTCCTTCTAGCTACAAAAATACTATAATCATACCACTTTTTAAATCTGGTGATAGAAAACAATGTGGAAATTACAGACCTATTTCTTTAACTTTAACAGTTTCAAAAATATTTGAGAAATGTATAAAATCAAGATTAATGTCGTTTTTGGACAAACATAATTTTTTTTCATCAAATCAATTTGGTTTTCGGTCAAATATGTCAACTACTGATCCTTTATCTAAAACTTCAAATTTTATTCATAATAATTTAGATAACAAATTTAAAGTTCTTGGAATTTTTCTCGATTTTAAAAAAGCTTTTGACTCCGTAAGTCATAATTTGTTACTTAAAAAATTAGAATATAATGGTATAAGAGGCAATGCTCTCAATTTAATTAAATCATTTATCTCTGGCAGACCTCAACAAGTAAGAATAAACGGATTACTTAGTGATGTAAAGACAAATTGTTTCTCAGTACCTCAAGGTACAGTACTTGGCCCTGTCTTATTCATCATATACATAAACGGACTTTTAAATATAAAGCTTAATGCTGAAATTTTTTGTTATGCAGACGATACAGTTATTCTGATTAAAAGTCATGACTATGAACATTTATATAAAACAGCTAATGACTGTCTATCTGTAGTTAAAGACTGGTGTGACAATAATAATTTACAGCTAAATTTATCTAAATCTAAATATATTGTCTTTAATATTACAAATCGTTCACATATTAAAAATACTGATTTTTCACTGTGTGTACACTCTTATAAATGTAAATATCTAGATAACCCTTGTGAGTGTTTACCTTTGGATAGAGTTTATTGTATTAAATATCTTGGAGTAAAATTAGACCATAGACTAAAATTTATTGAACATATATATCATGTAAATAGTATTCTTAGAAAATTATTATATAAGTTCCGATTGCTCAAAAACATGTTAGATATTAAAACTCTTAGAATTATCTATTTAGCTCTTGTACAATCTGTTTTCTCGTACGGTATTTCAATATGGGGATGTACATACTCCACACATATAAATGTTAGAACTATTTTTCAAGTTTATGAACGGGCGATTTTATTGTATATATTTAAAGTAAATATAGGACCATTTCAGCCCTTGCATTGTTATAATACTAGAATAAAAAACAATTGTAATTTAATTATTCCACGAAATAATACTAATTTTGGAACACAAAGTCCAATGATTAAAGGAATTCTGTTACTTCGTAAATATAATATTAATTTAACTAATTTTGATAATTTTAATAAGTATAAGAAACATATTAACACTATTTTATCTTGGTTGTAAATGTCCACTTTTTAGTTCAATGATAATTTTAAGTAACTACTATAAATGTTGAACTTTTTTTCTTTCTTTTTTTATTTTATTTGTATACTTTTATAATACTCATAACATGAACCCAGCTCATCCGTCTACAAGCATATCTATGCTTATTGGATGAGCTTGCAAACCAACCATATTTTGTTTGTTAATATTGTTTTTATTTTGTTTGTTTGCTAAATAAAATATATTATTATTATTATTATATTATATAATTTGTTTGGTCAAGTGTGAACTTATTCTTGTTTTTGGTTGACTGCATTGTTCTTTATTATGATGATGCAACCGAATTACAATACATTTTTTAATAATAAGTTTAATTATTTGTAAAAGGTGATTATTTATTGGTGATTGAGATGCTATATGAACATTTAATGAGATAAATAGATTATTTATATTTAGTTCCGCCATGGTTTTAATTGTTAAATAATTGATTGGATTTCCGGAATGTCTTGATGTAAATACTTTTTCGGCAACTTTACATATACCGTCAACCAGGCCAACTTGGGGCAGTTTTGAAATTCTATTATAAATAACTTTAAGTCTAATTATTCTACAGTTATTTTCAATATAACATTTTTTTTTAGTTAAGGTTTAATTTATTAATTTCTGTTGCAGTTGAATCATACAAATTATTCTTTCTATGTGTTTTTTTTATTTTTCTGCTTGCCCCATGTTGTACCGAATATCGACAACATGGGGCATTCATGTTTTTCTTATGAAAAATCTATTTTATAATTTACTCAAACCAACTTGGGGCACTATTTTAAATTTTTAAAAAATACTAGATAATTTTCTGAATTTAAAAAATATATTTTGTACCTGGTGAGTGTATATTAACATATACAAAAAAATAAAAACATTCTTGTTAACCAATCAAAAAATTATTAAAATTTGTAAATAACTTTAAAAAATTAAAAATAACAACATTCTTGTAGAGTATTAAATATTAATTAGGTAGGTAACTTCCTTGTTAACCAATTTATAAAGTATTAAAACAAATTATAACATTAAAAATTAAAAATAATAATATTCTTGTTAAGTATTAAATATTAAGTAGGTAGGTAACTTCCTTGTTAACCAATTTATAAAGTATTAAACAAAAAATAACATTAAAAATTAAAAAATAATAACATAATTGTTAAATATTAAATAACAGGTAACTTTCTTCTTTAGGTATCTACTAAATAAGTCTTATAATTTGTAAATATAAATTAGGAATTCATGTTACAAACAGTCTTTTAGTTTACATATTAAAAGTAAATGTATTTCTATGTTCTTTGATTACCATCAAACGTTTTAAAATGTTCTCTTCAGATACTTCCATAACATCTTCAACATTTGAAAATACATATGTTTCACTTCTCCCTTTATACTGTCTTAAAAAACTACAAATAAACTTTATACCATTTATTCCCTTACTTATATGTTTAATAAGGCATGGGAACGTTTTAAATTTGGCTTTTTTAGAGTTCTTATTATAAAGACATTTTACCAATACATAATCGTTTACTCTAAGGTTTTTTGTATCGAACACTTCATCTTCATCATCATCATCTTGATTATTATTACCACTCGGCCCAGGAAGTTGATCTGTTGTGGGTATGACAATAATAATAGGATTATTTTCAGGTTCACTATTAATGCTATCAATTACTGGTTCTTCAGAAAAAACTACTTCTAAGTCTTCAATATCATTTGAGATACTGTTTGTATCAACTATTTCTGTATTCAATTCTGATATACTTTTACCAGCTGGAACAGTCACTCTTTTTTTCCTTGGATTAGTAGATATTACATTTAAGCGACGTTCTGCCAAATGACTTTCAAATGAATTCAACCAAGAGTCATCACTGAAAGAATTTTCTCTTGGAATTCTTTTTAACACATTTTCTGGATTTAAAGGTACTATACCACAAGCTTCAAATCCGGCTATGATATTTTTTGATGCGTTAGGCCCTAATTCTTTCATTGTTTTATTTAAAATATTGGGAAATTGAGACTTTTGAAGAACACCCGTATTCTTATCCTTCCATATATCCAGTTGCTTTTTCCATTTCATTTTTAAAGGCCGGAAGAATGCCACATCAAGGGGTTGTGTTAAGTGTGTACTGTTAGGTGGTAAAAGTACAAATGAAATGTTATTTGTTTTGCAAGATTCTATCACTTTTGTTGATACATGACTTGCCAAGTTATCTCCGATCATAACTTTTTTTTTATCTGGAAATTTTCGAAAATATGGCATCACTATACTAAAAAACCAATCTTCAAACAACGTCATATCAAACCATCCGCTACGTGACCTATTGTATCTAGTACCAGGTGGTCCATTATAGGTCCAAGTATTGTATAAATGTTCAGCTTTATATACTACGTATAATGGTAATATAACTCCTGATGCTGTGCCACAAAACATAACGGAGGTGCTTGACTTCGATGTATCTTTTATACACTCTGCGTGTTTAGTGCCACGGCGCACAACTACTTTTTTTTTTCCTGGATCATCTGTCATGTTTGTCTCGTCGTAGTTAATAATTAGTTCCGGATCAACACCTTCAATTGTTTTAGTAAGTTCTTCAAAAAATAAATTTATAGTATCACAACTCACTGCTACCCGAGCTCGCTTTATGTTTTCACATAGTTTAACTGTTAGTACATCATTATGCCTATGTAAAAACAATTTTAGCCAGTCTTGACCTGGTAAATTATCTTTAAACCTTTGTTCTTTACGGCCTTCAGTGTCTAAATAATTTTTTACAATAAAACCAATGTCTTTTGATGTCAAAGGGAATCCCCATTTCCCAGCTGTAACTAGTCCGTCCAACAACATAGATTCTTCTATTGTAGATAAAACACAAGGTCTCCCAACAGGCTTCAAATTTTTCTTATTTCTCTTTCTATTAATTGTAGACTTTGGAATTCCAAATTGTTCAGCTGCTTGACGCTCAGTTAAAACACCGTTCTTAACGAGAGCAACAGCTCTTTGCAAATCATGATCAGAAAAATTTTTGTATGTTCGTCCACCAATTTTTTTCCGGCATCTACCCATCTGTACATAGTTAAAAATATAAATATACCTAAGTAGTATTTAGACTAAATTTTAGCTAAGTTAGTCTTGTTTAAATTTAATTTAATGATCCTAGGTATAACTTGGACCAGGGTTGAAGAACAATGCCCCAATTTGGACTAAATGAGTTAAACGTAATTTACAGATATGTATGCAGGATTATAATAATTTAGATTATGGAGTAGTAAATTTTACACGCATCCGAACATATGTTTTATTATTGATTTTTATGTAAAGCGTTTCATTCAATGAGTATTAGTGTAAGTTTTTGGACCTTTTCAAAACGATAGATATTAGACACAAAAAGAATTAATAAAAATTAATACTTACGTTTAAAATTTGATGCTGCGACACTTGTAAAATGATTTTAAATATTTCTAAGATAACAACAGAATACTTGTATCACATCAATTAATTGATAAGAGACCGTTATGGAGGTAAAACTAAAAGATAATATTTTTGCCCCAAGTTAAGCACGCGCCCCAAGTTGGCCCGGTTGACGGTATTTATAACATCAATTGATGGTTTTTTTAGTCCACCTCTATTTTTGATATCGATAAGTGTATGATGCATATATCTATCTTCAAGAGCAGAACAGCAAACTGAACAATTAATAATTTTAATATTTAATTTATGGTACTTACTTATGAAATTTAATATTTTCACCACCTTTGGAGTTGCAGCCTTTAACACGGCAAGATACAACCATCGTAAAAACAATAATTCAACTTTCAAACTAAAAAAAAACGCAAATGTCACAAAATAAATACTCTCAATTTAAATAAGTTTGATATTTGGTACATTATATTTGATATTCACTACATTACATTTAACATTATTTGCTTAAAACAAATCAGTAATCACAATATTTATCACGTTATCAATGAAATATAACGATCGGCAAGATTTTATTGTATCACAATTTTTTATTTGGCAGTAGGCACACTTTAAAACACTACTTTATTTCTTTTCTCACTCGACTATATCGTATCCTGACTTCTCTCTCTAAGCGCTGTCCATAGTTAATAGGTCTATGGTCCAATGTTAAATAAAATAAATAATTACGCGTATCGCTCGCTTCTAGCTGTCCTGATTGTGTTAATATTTCATTATCGATTTGTTGTTGAACCTTGTCTAATGATTGTGCTATTTTGTGTATTTTTTTGAGTTATACTATTTCTATTAAACAATCATCTCGCGCAACGTACAAATTTCTCGAAGAAATTTACATCGAAGTGCAACGATGTCATTTCTCTCCATCAAAAATCAACCTAACTACCTACGCACCTATCTTCTACCTCATTAAAAATACTTTCTATTACATCTAAGTCATCCCTAACACTAAGTAACCCCATAACACCTTCTCCATAATTGTTAATATGTATATTTCTATAATTGTCATTATTACTATCGCTATCACTAATTTCTTCCACTTCATCCATATTGCTAATTGGACTATTCGGTGCTATGTTCCTTAAATTATCAATATCACTATCAATATCCGACCACCGCAGACCAGCTGCTTCAGCCATATTCCTACTAATAGTGTTTGCTACTACATTGCTAACACTATTATTAAGTAACGTATTTCTATTTCTATTGCTAGGTACTTGTGTCCTACTATTATGTAATAATCTTGGTTCTTGGTACCTACTATCGTAGTGCTGACAGTAGATAAGTGGCTACCAAGTTATTATAGATGCAGGTCGCCGACACTTTATTTAATGATGTTGTAGTCGTGGATGATAATAATAATAAGACAGTTGAAGTATGATATAATATTGTGAGATTTTATTAAAACGTTCGATAATTTTCTAAGTCCAAAATAATGTTGTACAAAGTGGCGTGAAGGTGCGTGCACTAATTTCACAACGTGGTGTTCTGTATGTGGTATTGTCTATATTTGTTGGAATTGTTTTACCAAATTCTGGTACCCATATTCCCTAACCATTCTGTTGAATATGCATTTGGTAAATCTCACATCCGTCTTTGGGTCGTGAGCGTACGTTATTTTGTGTTTTTGTGCACAGATGCCGTTATGTGCTTCGGTTAGATTCAATAGTCTACCATTTTTCTGGATTCTACCTACGTTGAATTCGAAAATTCTTTCAGTTACCTTTCCTTTTAATTTTTCTAATATCATGTAGAAGTTTCCATCAAAATTCAAATCATAGCATCTGATATTTAGTATTTCTATATGTCCTAACCCTAATCTACTTAGGATATTTCTATCGTACGATCCCCCAAACAATACCACTACATTTATAAAAAAATTTATATGTTATCTCCACGTAAAATATAATTTTTTATGAACTCTGGTGTTAGATTATTTAATTTTGAATTCAGACTTTTATTAAGCTGTGCTATACAGGTCGTCTCCACTTCCTTTTTGTTGTGGAAAATCCGCTTTATCGATTTCTCTGCCAACTGTAATTCACGAACAGTCATTATTCTTACCTGTTCATGAAGTGGCAAGAGAAGCGGCTTCCCCTCAAGCTTACAAATTTTACACTTGCTTAAGCTGTTTGAGATTGCTCCTGATATTAGCACAATGTCAGTTTTCTTCATATTGGTGAATTCGAAATCCATGACAACGAACTTGACTTCCCTTCTAATTTAAAGTCGTTAATACATTTACTATTAATTATAATATTAATACGTGTTCTATTTCTAATTACTAATTAATTTCTCTAAATGATTTAATTTCCTAATGTACGCGCTTTAACCATTTAATTTAATCCACAAATAATAATAATGTGCATATTATTTAAAACTTTTTTCGAACATTTCGATATCAACGACACTACCGATGGAGCTAATATTTTTCTTTTTATACGTTTTCTCTTTATTTTTTCCGTATGCCGATCGTTAACTATGTTGGAATAATTTAATTGTAAATCTTCAAATAATAAATTTCGTTCTAATATAGGTAATTCATCGGCGTCGTCGTCGTCGGAATTATAGTCATCACAGTCATCATCTCCCTCGCTGTCGCCTCCGTTATAGTCGTCGTCGTCGTCGTCGTCGTCGTAAGATTCACCGTCCTCCGTATCGCTGTTATAACTTACAGCCGTTGTGTTTATCGCACTGTTTGTTCCAGAAGTCGTCGCCAACGTTTCGATTTTTTGTTTTTTCCGTCTCACGATAGTACCGTTTTCGGAAAATTTTGCGTTAAACAATGTGAATGTTTTTTTCTTAGCTCCGTACAACGAATCGCTTGTACATTCTATAGTTTTATCGTAGAGCTCTATGTGTGGATTTGTTAGGACACAGTCCGTTTCGAATTTTCGTATCGCCATTACGAATAAATTCGACCAATCTTTGGAACATATCGACGATTCGGGTTTTTTAATTGCCACCGGCGCTACCGCATAATTTAGAAATTTGTGACCGAAATTCATTAAAGTGCCAGTACCGACTGTTCGAAACTGATTTTTTTCGGGCGCTCGATGTTCCCTTCGGCTTTCGATAATCGGCTAACGTTTTTGCACACGGCTTCTGCGAATTTATTTTTTATCCTCGCGGAATAATTGGCGGCGATAATTGTATGTTCGTACTGTTCCACGACGTGTTTGTTAAAACTTTTTAAAAATTGCGGTAAAATGACTTGTTTGAATTTACCGGACGATTGTACCGACAGCAGACCGGTGTTACACATGTAGTTTGAAAACCAAACTACGATCAACATGAAGAAGTTGTCAACGGCTATGCATAATTCCGAACTTACGTCGCTCGATTTTGAAAAATAAAATTTGAAAACTTCAAAAATGTCAGTTTTAGCGAACACGGATATCTGACTAGATTTATCGCACGTAGGACTTTTCAATATATTAACGAACACGCTGGACGGCAAATTACCGGCCAGAATACCGATTCTATGAAAATTACACGTCTCGATAAACCACCACAATACCAGATCTTGAGCTTTGACTACTTTGTTGAACGTATTGCCCGTCATTTTATGTTCTATTTTTAATTTCATAAATATCCCGTTTATGAACGATATCGTGGTTTTCGGTAATTTGTACATAGTCAGAAACGTCGTGAGCAACATCTTTAATATACATAACGACCCTACCGTCACGTGATCCTCGTCTTCGACATTGACGGCGCATAATAATTTAGGTAGAAAAACGTCTTTCATTTTTTCGATTATCTTAGATGTGTTTGTCGGTAGTATTCTTTTGCACATTAGCAATTTTTTGACAATGTCGCCCATAACCATTTTGGATAGTTTTCTCGGAGTTTTTGCGCAATATTCTATCAAATCGGAACTAAAATATCGCCAATAAGTCATACAAAAGAATTCCAACTCTCCGTCGACCAACACGGGCGTTTTCGAATAACGGTCTTCTATGTATTTCGTAATCACTACTTGCATTTCCGGCACAAACGATGTAGGTATGCACCCGTATGTCAATTCGTATTTAGAAATATCGACATTGATATTGACCATAGATTGTCTTATGATTTGTGCGTCCGATTTTTCGACAGAAAAATCTTTTAGGCGTTCTCCGATATCGGAACGCATAACTGTAATAGTATTTTGCGGAACGTCCATACCTACGCACACATCCGAAATCCGCGTATAACCCTCCGGACAGGGAAATTTTGCCGAAATCGCTTCGTATTCTTGGAAAGTCATCGGTTCATCGTTTTCGTACTTTCTAATATATAGTTCTTTTCAAGCTTGTTTCCTATTTTTTTTCTTTATTTATTTTTATTCGAATATTTTCCCTAATATTTTACACCACCACCTAGTATAAAATAAACGCTGATTTTATTTTGAAAGAAATCAACGTGAGACGTGCACTTATAACTTATACAATTTTAATTATATCTATCTTTCAACTTAAATAATATACTCACAACAATGCTGTCGCCACTGCTGTGTTCATTTTCCTTGATTGTCTGCTGGCCCGTCTTTAATTGTTCGTTGATTCCGGAGTCGCCTTGGTTGATCAGACCTTGACTGTTACCTCCGTGGAGCTGTTGACGTGGTGTAGCCGCTGCGTCTGGACTGGATCTCCGAAGTTGAATGTAGCCGCCTTGACTGCTGGACTCGCCTTTTGAAGTTGAAATCCGCTGCCTTGACTGCTCGACTCGCCTTTGGAAATTTAAATCCGCCGCTTTGACTGCTCGCCTCGTCTTTGACTCCTTGAACCTCCTTTGTTCGACTGCACCAGTGTCATAATCTTGGTTCTTGGTACCTACTATTGTAGTGCTAATAGTAGATAAGTGGCTACCAGTACGTTAATGTGCAGGTCGCAGACACTCTTCTGATGTTGTAGTCGTGGTTGTTAAATAAATAAGAGAACAGTTGTTGTATAAAATAATATTGTGAGTTTTATTATTACACTTCAATAATTTTACTAAGTCCAAAATATTGTTGTACAGAGTGGCGTGAAGGTGCTTGCACTAATGGGTGGTAGTACACGTCTGAAAACAGGCCGATTCGGGCTCCCTTATATATGAGGTTCCCCGTACCCCTTGCCTATGGATACTGTATCTCGGCTCACGGATGTGATTTGTGTGGTCATCGTTCCAGCCCACGCATTTTATGACTTCCCAATATAATTCTGCGTAATACTAAAATGTTAATCTATGGTCTACTTCATTAAAATAATCATTCTACTCTTTTATATTTTATATTTGAATATCGTCGTGTACAGTGCTTCCTGAGTCATTATATTATTCAGTGAGTCTGTCACCTTATGTTAACCAGTAGGAAATCCTATTTCCGTTTCTAATATCCGATTTATGCCGATCTACAGTATATTATACTAATTATGTACCTGTGGAATTGGTTTTATTGTTAGGTAGTAACTTGCTTACTACAATGTTCTTTAGTCTTTGAAATTCAAATCAAGTATAAGTGAACTTATGAAGTATAGATGGTTAAATTTTCATTTAAATATTTCGTTGACGGGCTTCGCAGAGATAGATGATAAGTGTTTGATCTCACTGATTGAGGAACAATCCTTAAATCGTGAACTCAAGGTACACACCCTTAATTGCGACCCATGTGAATCGGGGAATTTGTACCAGAACATGTCACATGCAGCCACCATAGCACAATAATATATTATTATTAGAAAATGATTTATAATTAATAAATTCTATCATGTATAACGACTGTTAATTATAATTAAGTTGTCTTATGAACTATATTATAATATAATTATAAGGACTAGTCAAACCGATAGTGAAATTTTTCTATTAATAATTCTATAGTTTAAGTCTCATATTTTTTTTACCAAGAATTTTTACTACATAAATCATCAATATGTGTTTTCATTTTAAGTCTTTTACCACATTTTATATCAAATTTATTATAAGTAGACGCGTATAAATTTTTAATATCAGTTAAAGGTACTAAATTTAAATTTTTAGGAGAAGAATTTTTATTATCGAAAAATAAAGGCGCTCTATATCGATATTGTATTTTTTTCGTCAAATACATCTGGAGTTCTAGCAACGAAAATTCATTAGATTTTATCAATGCGTGCAGTCTTTTTATACACAACACGCAACAGTCTACGGCGATAGATTTATCTATCAGAATATTAAATCCTAAAGGGCCAAAATGTTTAACACAGAGCTTACACGATTATTTTTTCTTAACATCTATACCAGCGTCAGTGTTCGAAATTATACCGAATGTTTTAACACCGTCTATTTCAATAAACAAATCGTTTAATTGTTTCAATCTGTATGATTCGAGTTCTGATCTATTACTTTTTCCCAAAATGATTTTCTTCGATTGTAATAAGTTTTTTGGTTTGAGAATTTTTTTATTACTTTTATCAACTCTGTAAACAAATGTTTCATCCTCGTCATAATATCTAATTGCCAAATCTTTTTTTAAAAGACGGACTTCGGCATCGGTTATATCATTTCGATCATCGTCGTCATCGTCATATATCGCAATACTTGTTTCAGAATCGGAATCGATTTCCTTCTCATTTGTCGTCATTACCGTCTCGATTTTTTTTTTTTCCTAACAATTATCTCATCACAATCCGTATCTGAATTTTCAGGCCCAGTTGGCGAAATCGTAACTTTTCGTTTTTCTCTAAATTTTCTATCCGATCTTTCGCCAACCACTTCGTTTTTATCATACATATAATCGTGATCAGTCGGATAAAAATCGACTATATTCTCAAAAGTTCTTCCGAATAAATTGGTTGTTCTTTGTTTTTTTTTTTTTTTCCATATTTCGTTTGTCTTTTCATTTTCTAACAATTAATTTATTCATCCGTTCCTTTACTATGCCTCTTTCAATATTTCAGTAAATAGTAGAGTACAGAAAGGTTTCATCCTCTGGCATTCCCACATCTCTAGCGAGAACATTAAACATTTCCTCTTTATATAATCCATTGATTCCTTCTTCTGAGCTGGAAATAGTGCCTGATGGTGTTTTAAGGCTGATGAGATTTTTCTTCTCAATTGGAATATGAGTGATTCCATTCCTTCCCATTTCTCTAACCTCATCCTTTATTTGTGCTTCATCCTTTTCTTCTTCATTTATGTTCATTGCCTCTATTTTGTATTCAGTTTTGTCATATTCTTATGTTTCCTGCTTCCTTGAGTACGAAAAATTCGAGAAAATATTATTTTTTAATTCTTCAACGTCGATCTGTTTCGTTCCAAATAAACTTACTTTATACCAAGATTCAAATTCGTCAGTTTCTCTTTTTCCACGTTGTTCTATTGAATGAGTATATATTCTATTATTCGAAATTTCGTTATACTGATTTATTATTAAAACTTTCTTCTTATACCTTGATTCAACAACCGTATCCGGATTATGTCTGTAAGATAAACTGTATGAAGCTATTAAATCATCCTCGGTTAGAGGAATAAAGTGGCACGGTACTCCCAGAGCCTGTCTTTGCGCGCGATCATCACCACCCTGTCTTGCAGTTCTACAACGTCTTGCATCATTTGAATTTAGTGTAGACAAAAGTGCAGTTGGAAAACAGGATTACCATTAAAATAATCATTTTACTCTTTTCCGTTTGAACTTTGCCGTGTGCACTCGGTGTTTTCCCTATGATTATTATAAAATAACCACCTTACTCTTTTATATTTGGATTTCGTTGTTTGTGCTCAGTGTTCCTGTAAAATGTTACAACCGCCTATTTTTGAACCCTTATGTCCTTAATATCTGGTTATGCCGGTCTATCGTATATTATAATAACTATGCACTCATGAAATTGGTATTATTACGTAGTAACTTGCTTACTACAGTATTCTGGTAGGCCAGGTGACTACTATTGTAGTATAATAGTAAGACAAGTGGCTACTAGAATATTAACGTAGCACTTCTTAACACTTCTTCTGATGGTGTCGTCGTGGTAGTTGATTAATTAAAGTAGACAGTTGTTGTATATCGTGAATTTATTGTTAGTACTTCAATAATTTTGACAAGTCCAAATAATGTTCCACAGAATCTCGTGAAGGTGCTTGCAGTAGCGATGAGTGGACACGTCTGAATACAGGCCGATTGGTGTCTTGTCAGTAGGGGTGGTAACGGTTTTCGAAGTGAGTTAAGCCGAGTTCTTTGATGTCACAGAGGACAGAGAGTGGTCTGTTGAAAGGCTAGAGTCGGAAAAAGAGTCTACGGTTTCAGAGTCGGACGTACTAGAATTAGATAGTATTGGTGAAGGGGGAGCTGAACGTTGCTTTGCAATTTTCGGAGGTAGGTTGGGAAATAGGTTTCCAACCTTGTTTGTTGTTTCTGGTCATAGTCAGTGGGTGTAAGTTTTTTGAGGAGGGGATGCTGTGGCTATGTGAGGGCTTATACTAGTATAAGGTCTATGACTTTGACCCTCTTTTGCTTATTACTTTTTGCTGGCCGGGGTCATCGGTCAAGTTCGTCTCATCATAATTATAAATTCTTGAATGTGGAATACCCGACAAGGTCTACTCAAGCCGGTCTATGTATTCATTAATATCGTCATCAGTAATATTGGCACGAGTTTTTTTGATGTTAGCACTAACTTTAACGGATAAATTAGGGTGCCTTTTTAAAAATAAATTTACCCAGTCGATCCCTGGAATGTTATTTTTAAATATGGATACGCGTACGCCTCTTTTACATAAGTACCGGCTTATTATCATCCTTAAGTCATAAGGGACCAAGGGAAAACCAAAATTTGATAATGTATACAATGCTGTTCAAAACTTAATTCCTCGGCGCGACTAAATACGGTTGGATGGCCAATATTATTACCGTGGTTTTTTTTCAGCTTGTTTTTAATTGTTGATCGAGGAATTTTGAAATGTTCTGAAGCTTTTCGTTGGGACATTACTTTAGATTGTATGCCTCTTAAACATGCTTCTAACACTTCTGGTTTGTTATTTTGATAGGCCCTCGTACCTAGTTCCCGTCTTGTATTCCGCGGCATGGTAGTCTGTTAAGCAAAAATAACGAGACAGATGAGCGACAATACAAATTAAGTACCTGGAGAGGCTATTTTGAAATATATATATTTTTTTTAATTGTTTATATTATTATTATTCAGAGAGTTAGACATTAAAGTTTTGTAAAAGGTCACGGCACCACTTTCTTTTTAACCTACGGTTTGGGTTTCCTGGGAGTGTAAGGATAGAAAGGTCTTTTATAAGAGGATTTGTATGGTTTTGAAGTCGTTTATGGAAACGTGTATAATTTTGAAATATGAAAATAGCATTATAATCCCAAAAAAGGAAAATAAAATAATATTTTCGTAGTAACTTGCTTACTACATCTCCCCCATTAAAAGTTGATTTTGATTTTTTTTTTTTTTTTTATCAAATTATTTGCTTTTCTTTTCCTTCTTTGCTGATGTCTATCGCTAATTTCCATTCTGACTATGGAAAAACTCCATGAGATCCGCAGAAAAGAAAATGTCCGTAACCAAATTAACAACTGAATCCTCTTCTAGATCAATTCTTGCTGATTCTAACAATATTGTCAAATACGCAGCAGCAGCTTTTGCTATAAGTGTATAACCGCCTTCATCCGGCATCATGGGTACAGCTTGAAATTGTTCTAAGGACATCTTGAAGATATTGTGGCCTGTGACGGGATATGTTCCTTTAGTGTTTTTTTCGAGTTCCACATCTTCACATGCCCTGACATTTTCCAGTATAGAACCATTTGCTCCGACTCCAAGTTTCGCTCTATTATTTTCTTGTGCAAATCCTGGCGCGAACTATTATAGGGTATCTCTTCGACCAACTGGTCCAGTAGCCGTTTATATTCTAAGTCCGCTTGTTCACTCAGTAGTTCGTGGTAGTGGCACTCCCTAATTTTCAAAATCTCGTAGAGGTAATTGTATGCTCTTAGTTTCTCCATTCTTTTTCCTTCTATTCCCTCTCTCAATGTATTGATGAAAAGGGAATACAAATGCTTTTCCCTCCTGTAAGGGATAGAAAACATTTTTGCTCTTACCTATATGTATACAATGACTGAATAGTGGGATGTGTTTGTTGCGTGGCTCAAATTATTCGATAGTCCTGTCTCGCGGCGCCGGGGTCTCGTCCGTGGTACGCTGCCGCCGCACAAACAACAACCGCGGCGAACGCAGGATCGTCTAAAACGAGAAAAATTAACTCAATTATCCCTCCATTAGTTCAAGCACTTTCCTATGGTTACAAGTTTACATACATCAATTATTACATAACATGTTCCCGGATCGTCTGTGAGGTTTGTTTCGTCATAGTTATATATACGTGAGGGCAGAATACCAGCTAAGGTTTGTTCAAGACGGTCCATATAATCATTTACATCGTCAGTTGTGATGTTCGCACGACTTTTTAATATTTGCACTGACTTTCACCGATAAATCTTTGTTTCTTTTTAAGAACCCGCGAATCCAGTCATCACCTGGTATATTGTTAGTAAATTGAGACACTCGAACTCCCTTACAATCTAAGTAACGAGTTACACACATTTTAAGGTCCGAAGGGATTAATGGGAAACCAAAATCGGCTAGTTTCATGCAATGCTGTGCGAAGCTTGCTTCCACGGCGGGAGGAAATGCTGTGGGATGGCTCTCGTCTTTCCTCCTCGTTGCGCCATTCCATGATGTGGACAGGATTCTGTACATTATACCTACGTACATTTTTCATGTTCCCCATTCACAATGGCGAAATCTAGTTTGATACAGAATGACTTGTATGCTTCCCTATAATAAAATTAGATTTTTTTCTATTACTTAATGGTATACTACCTAACGTTATTTAATTAAATTAATTTTAATTTAATTTTAATTCCTATTCTAAAAAAATTTTTTTTTTTCAAAATCGCGAGTTTGCTGTGTCGTCGCGGGCTCGTATTGTATCCATTTCCGTAAAGTCTAATGTTCGTACAAGGTATCGGTATCTCTCCTTTCTGACTAATCTATAGTGTTTTACTATAGTTGTCATTATTAATAGCATTATAACTACTATTACTCCTATATAGGTAGTAACTTGCTTACTACAATGTTCTTTAGTCTTTGAAATTCAAATCAAGTATAAGTGAACTTATGAAGTATAGATGGTTAAATTTTCATTTAAATATTTCGTTGACGGGCTTCGCAGAGATAGATGATAAGTGTTTGATCTCACTGATTGAGGAACAATCCTTAAATCGTGAACTCAAGGTACACACCCTTAATTGCGACCCATGTGAATCTGGGAATTTGTACCAGAACATGTCACATGCAGCCACCATAGCACAATAATATATTATTATTAGAAAATGATTTATAATTAATAAATTCTTTTTTTCCATCATAACCACAAGACATATTGTAATTGTAATAATTTGTAACTATTGTTTGGTAAAACATATTAATGGTTTTTCTTCCTAATTTAGATAAACTATTTAAAATGAGATCAGGTCTAACACCGTCTACATTATAAGGGAGTTCATATGGTTCAGAAATTTTAGAAACGGTAGATTTTTGAGCACATTGATTGGCCATTTTATGACCTGTTTCTATATAATGATAAACAAATACTGTATATCTTAAATTTATAAAATTGTCATGTGAAGATAAAAGAATTCTATCAACCCTTCCCGGTACAATGAATTTATATGGTGTAGAATTGTCTTGTAAATAAAATACATTATTGCTTTTTTTTAGCTTTGCTTCAGTGTTTCCATATAAAGCATCCCCATATTCCATAACTGTGTCCAATTTGGGTATACAATCATCACCTAATTTTTTATATGAATTTTTTAATTTTTCAATATTGACATTTTGAAGATTTTTAAAATCAGTTTCTCCTTTATACAACAAAGCGTTTATGGTTATAAATAAACCATTATTTACAGAATCCCTATTAATTATTACAGAATCTTCTATATTATGATTATAAGCCATAAAAGCGACTATTATATGAGTTCCGAATGATTGTTTATTTATTTTAGATTCTAAAAAAACATCATTAGTAACACATGGTTCTTGTATACCTGTAATAGCGAATTTAGCTGCTTCTATATTATTTAGTGAATCTGGTCAATACATTAAAAATTAATAGTTATTTTAAAGTATTCATAATAATCTGATCAGCATTTCCTGAATATGCGAGGCTTTACATAACTAAAATCTCTTCCTCCGTTAACGGAATATACATCATTCTTGCATTACTATAGTCGGGTGAATGAAAAGTGGCCGCTGATGCTCACGCACCTGGCGGTGAATTTTTATCGTTGTACCTCAAAATTATGGAAAAAGCGCGCGTATTTTGAATTATTAATCATAATGCGTATTACATGTTATTCCAATACAAATTAATAATTTTAATAAAAACATAAGCAATAATAATTTAATTTAATACAAAATTCATTCGAATGTATGTACAAGTCATATATAATACAAATTCAGGTCAAATATATACAAAATAATTTTTTTAAATCTAAGCAACTTAACCCAGACAGCATTTTGTAATTATAATATTATTATGATAACTTTATACTAATATTATTCGTTATTATAATGTTATAATAATATTTCTGCTTGGGAAACTATAATATATATCTGCATCAAATATGTCTTCGTCATCTTCATCTCCCCAATCGCTATCGTCGTCTTGTAATGTGATAATGATCGGCTCCAACATGCCATCCCTTAATATTTCTTTGCTATTATCTTCGTCTTGAATTTTTTCCGCATGTGCAACACACTTCTTCCAATCCTCCTGTGTAACTGCATCCATAGCCGCGTGTGCCAACTTTTCTACTTCTGCCATCTTAAGTGTTATTTTTTTTAGCTACCTCCCCTTTCACCTGTGCCCAAATTAACTCAATTGGATTATATTGACAATGGTTTGGAGGTAACCTTATCACTTCATGACCCTTTTCTAGTGCAATTTCGTCCAATTCATAGCGTTTATATATTGGAATAAGTTGTTTTACACGCTCACGTAATTCAGACAGCCGTTCTTGTGGTGAAAATTCAATATTTTTATTTTTCAGCCACTCTTCCACAACGATTTTTCGGCTATTACTCTTGGGGAAATTATCTTTAAGCATTGAGTGGTAAGATGCATTGTCCATCACAATAACCGACGGCTCTTCGAGGTGGTTCGACATATCAATAAACCAATTTTTAAATACCTCGGCATTCATTGAGGTATGATAATCACTCTCAAGACTGCTAACGTTAGCTCGAAATATTAATTTGGAATCGCTAACAAACCCATATTTTGCAGATCCTGCGTGACAAATAATAAGGCGACCTCCTTTGCCAGTGGGTACTTTTAAACCTGTGGTATATTCGTCATTTTGCCATATGCGTGTTCTGCTATGGTTTTGGCTTATCCACGTTTCATTAAAATAAACGACAGGACGGGTGTCCTTTTGTTCCCGAAGTGTACACAATTTTCTTAAAAATGCACAATGTCGTTCCTTTCCATGAGAAATTTTCTTCCATCATTGCACTTTTTGAAAGAAAATTTCAAATTTTTTAGAAGCGTACGCATCGACCAAACAGAGCCTTCCCAATTATACTTTTTCTTTACCTCCGTTAAAACAGTAAGAGCTGTAGGGTACTCAACTCTATTGTAGAACTCGTGCACTGTTCTACGTACTATGTCCGCATCAAAATCGTCTAATTCAGTCAACGGTTTTGCACGTTTATACGTTTTACGTGGAGACTTGAGCGAAGCAACTTGTTGTTCTGGATCCAAACTATCCTTACCCTCTTTGCATATGCGCCTCACAGTTCGTTCTGATAATCCACAAGCTTCAGCTGTTGCCTTTAGGCATTGAGCAAACATATATGGAACAATTTCATCTTGTTTCGATAGGTCTTTTATAAAATTGTAGACCGAAAAAATGATTTTTTTGCTCTGACTACGAGTATCACTACTACTGCCGGCCATTATAGAATTTTAAAAAAGAAACTTTAACTAAAAAACAGTAGTAAATAATAATGTAAATATGTAACGGTTAAACTCACTTTCTGAAGTCAACTGTAACAAAACACAACATAACACGGATAAAAATCGTTGCCGAATGACGTATATCGGGGCAAGGAAGCAGATGTTATGAGTACAATGGTCCATAGTGATTCCGCCTTATAGACCACATAAATTGGAATCACTCGTCCCTCAGCATTCCCGCAGAACATCAACGATATTGCACTCATGTAACTTGCTTACTACAATATAATTAGTAATAATATTTTCATATAATTAAATAATTATAAAGTATAAGGCATAAATAATAAATATATAATGTTATATTTTTATAATGTTAAAGGAAAACCACAACGACTTGGTATTTGTATTTAACAAGAATAAATTGTAGAGGCACCTTGTTGTAATGAACTTTAATACTTTACAATTATGTTTAAGTAAGAAATTTATTTTTGTTGAATAACAAAATTTTATATATCATTTTTAAAACACAATTTTTGTAAGAAAAAGAAATAATTAACCTAACCTAAGTTTTTGTTCAGATATGGTAACATAAAATATTAACAAATAATAATTATAATAATAATCAGTCTGGCCATCTGCACCACAAAATATTATAAGCAGAAAAATATTAAGAATAAAAAAAAAGTATTCAATAGTTAATAAAAGTATTTAAAATACCATTCAAATACTTTACAACACTGTCTATTTACTTGGGTGCCAACTCATTTTGTATTTAAATAAAAAGAGTATAAAAATAGCATATTTAAATATTTATTATGAATAGATATAGACCGTAACAGAGTTTTCAGATCAGGTTTTATAAACTATCAATATTTAGTAACAAGAGTAAATTAATATGTGAAAAAAGAAATAAAGGAAAGAATTTCAATTTTAACTTTGTATTTATTTTTTATATTATCGTGTATTTTTTTTTATTTATTTGAATTGTAAATTATTTTGTATTATGACTATGAAACTTTGTATTATAAAACATGGGGAAAAAAATGTACCCAATTGGAGATTTAATTATTGTAATAAATAACATTATTATTAGGAGATACCTAATTATCTTATCTAGATGAAATGTTAAAATAAATGTTTATAGGTATTATTGTATTTATATTTATTGGTATGCACTCATATTTGTATATTTTATATAACGTTGTGAAATAATAAAAAATGTACATATCGACAAACATTGTTGACTTATTTATTATTATTCATTAGTTCTTAAAATGTATTATTCTTTTAAAATGGTTTAATTTTGCTTAAATATGCTTAAAACATGTTTTGTTCCTACTTATTTAAGTTAAGACAAAAAACTAAAACTCAAAAAATTATATTTTATGATTTTGTATAATATATTAAACAAGAACTTGTCCCCAAAGTAGGGATACGTTGTTTTTGTATAAAAAAAATCTAATAACAATGAAAATAGTTGTAGGGAAGTTGTTATTGTTTAGTTTTTTGTCCACGGGGGGTAGAAATGTACTATATTCTGTCAGCAACCAATGATTTCTACACGATGCTGCTCAAATATAGCGTCAGACTTATCCTGCTTATCATAGCATGAAATCATAGATATATATTTAGTAGTTTTGTATATCTATGAATAAAATATTATGATAATTTTTTTTTTATTATGTTATGGACATTGATGAAAATTGTAATTGCCAAAATTTATGATTCTCAAGTA